ATATGTCGTTTGATTTTAAACAAGCAGTGAGTGAAATGCGTCCAATGGTAATCGTTAACGGGAGCTGCACCAACAACATTACAATTTAAAAATACATGTTCGCTTTATATTTATTTATTAACTGAGATAAACCTACTTCTCCATTCAAAATTCTAAGCAGCTCTCCGCTGCTTTGTTTTCGGTGGATTTACTTAAGTTGAATCAAAGTCGTTTCAAGTTAAAAGGTCCCCTCTTTCCATTGCCATAATAGTAATGCGTGTTTGCTGTTTATATGGACCGTACGCTTACAAGGGAGCATTGCTGAACGATGTAGTTATTATAAAATTATTCACTTACAGTGAAGTATCAATATTAACTTTAGCAATTTCCAAAAGTATAACTGTTATTATTATGCTGGTATGTGATGTATTGGCAAGCTAATGATTCAGTCTTCTAGGGATAGTATGTCTTACCCAAAATCAGGAATAGCTTGGATGGTGGTATTTAGATACTGACTCATACACTTCTCGGTATCGCAACTGAGTCAGAATTATAATGAGGATTGAATATCGTACCTTATAAATAACAAGGTTTCACTGGTTGGAGATGTCATTAATTTAGACACGCTAGACGGGATGATCTGTTGCGAGCAACTTATTTTATCTATAAGTTTTTGAATATTGCATTACATATTCCGAGCATATTTTGTAGCTTTGATTCTATTTAATAATACGTCTTCTGGTCAAAAATGAAGGATTTTAAATAAGGCATTAGCCTTCGAAAATAATTAATTACTATATTCACTGTTTTTATTACGTGCAATCGGTTAAGTACTTCATTCATCATAATTATAACTTAGTAAGTATTTCCCACGAAAGTAAACTGTAATATTGATAACAGTTTGCATTGGCATGTTCTTATGAGAATAACATTATTTAAACGCACAACTTAGAAACAACCATAATAGATACCTAGGAACTGCACCTACAAATGTTTAACTAAACTTACTCTTTGAAATTTTCCTCTATTAATAAAACAAAGCGCGTCGCGCCCGTAAGTCTAACTAATTAAAACGGATTACTCGTAGGAGACTAGCTAACAATGCACCATTATTGTCCTATATTATATTATCCTTAAGCCCAACACGTTCCTCGACACGCTTCAAACTTTGGTAATTATTGGAGCTCTACTTACTTATCTTGAAGCTATCACTTAAGAGACACCAGTAATAAGTTGAGACAGCAGTTATAAATCGAGTTTAAGACGTTGCCCTCGGCGGCACATCTCGATGCTTCATGAACATTTCACAAGATCGATAATCTTGTTTGTATTACAAATACTAACTTTGGTATCAATTTATGACATTTCTTATATATTGTGTTTAACGTATTAGGTGTCTGATTACGCAGCTAATAGTATAGCTTGTACCAGGTATATCATTTTGTGTTGCTGTGTGTGTTTGTTAAATGACGAGAATCCCTCTGGGAACCCTGAAAGAGAAATCAATATTACTTGTTATAAGTATAAAAATATAAGTATTATGGTAGTTTCAAGGAACAAGGAGCTCCAATTGAAAGAATTAAATACATGTTTCCTTAAATTTCTATGAAAATGACGCGCGTTCCATGAACCAAATCTTGAATTCTATTTCTGCTTTCGGTATGCCGATAGAAAAAAGCAGTTGATACTAGTTTTATAACAATTGTTCAGAATATAATGTCAAATTAATCGAGTTGTTTAATATTTACAATGAAAATGAAACTGGATGGTTCTGTAATTTGTGCGGAAGGGAAAGGCTTGGGTGGAGGTGTATAAACTATAAACACCCATCTTTCACTAGCAATTATGTTATCCCATTTAATGGGGGACAAACCGTTATAAACCGTGCATGAATTCTGCACTATACTACACTTAAGCTATCAAAAAAATTATTACCTGTATAGATAAGGGACCAGTGTGCAAATATAGGTACTTATTTAAAAAAACCAGTGCACAACTGTTTGTGTTTTTAACAAGAAACAAAAGAAACTAAAGCATAAATTGTTCACAACGTTCGCCTTTGCGAGTTGGCTCTTTCAGATTTATATTTCTTTTAAAGTTTTTTTTTCTTAGTACATCTGTAGCGTTCGTTAAAGTTAATAAACTGAGTTTGCACAGAGATTTAGCAATAGTTTTTGGAGAAAAACATTTTTATTTAAAGTAAATAATCTTCTGCTCGTATCCAATATGAGTATGGACATATAAAAGGGGTTACTCACCCCCTAATAACAAAGTGTTCGCGTCATCAACAAATATACATTTTGGCACATTTCAAATTCCTTCGTCACGTTCGCTATTTATGAAAATCGTCTATGACAGATGACCGGCCGAATGCCGCTAGAGTGATCTTTGGTACAGGACCCACGAAAATTTTATGCTCAGATAATAAAGTAAATGTTGCTTGAAGTGTGAATATATTCTACACATAATTCGTGCTATTGTAAAATCTTTGTCCTCGCTATAGTAAAGCACTTACATACTTGCGATCGGCTCGGTAATGTGTGTATTCTGTATTATGTAGATGTAAGAACAATAGTAATTTATTTAAGGTTTTCAATAATGACAAAAAAAATCCTTCTTAGTACACATATATTTCTCCATGTCTCGGGAGCATTCTATCCTCTATTCTATCGGGTTTATACTTTATACACACGCTTAAGGTCCTTATCAAAATATTCTTGTAGTTAGAATTTGATGGAATTTGACCTTTTTACGATACTTGTTGATAGTTTATTGGGTCGTATAGATATTATAAAAGAAATTTCTTCGTATATTACTTTAACTCGTCGAGTACCGTCATTACAGACACAATTATAGAACAATAGGTTGCGGTCACCGGTGACCGCTTGGTGTTTGACAGTTAACTAACTACTAATACAACATATTTCAACTAGTTGGAAATGTGTCATGTCACTGAACGCGTTCCTTAACTTCAATATATAACCAATGTCCAATGCCCATTTAAACAAAAACACAACATAGGATCAGATAATTATTTAACAAAAAAGATGAAATTCATTTGGCAACATATTAAATGTCATGTCTGTCGTGATAATTCTAAATTTTTAGGTTTTTTGTATTCAAATATCAATGTAAGGGTACTCATAAATATGTATAATTTTTAACCGACTTCATAATACTCAGTAATTATGTATACAGACAGGCTACAACCAAACCCCGGTTTGCGTAAAGGACTAAATTGTTCATATGCTTGAAATGTGTTATTGTATCTAATTGTGACATTGAGTCGGCACTGAAATATGTAAACTTACCACCGCTGCGCTGTTCAATCCTTTACTTGAAAGCAGTAGACATTCTTGAACTAATTAATGCTACGTGATAATGGTCGTAGTTGGTATTGTTTTAGCACTATTGTCGTGATTCAATCACTTCATGTACGAGTTAACGAGAACTGGTAAACTTGTGCATTGATATAACACTGATGATGCGGTGCGCAGTGACAGATGAGCGGGCGCGAGGCGCGCGGCGCGCTGACGCGGACTGCTGGTGTACGTAGGACGAGCGCTATGCGTGCGCGCGCGCCGCCGACAGCCGCCGCGGCCGCCACTCTCGACGTTTGACCTTATTTAATTAGTTCGTTCGTTTTTACTCTTTGAATGTAACACAGCATATTAAAATGTGTAACCGTCTAATTCATTGTTACCATCCACTCGGTTAATATTCTCTACTCTTAACTAACCCCACTAATGTTACGATCGCGCACTAATTGTACTTATGACAACAACGTAATCATAGTGTAGCTTTGTCATTTAAAGTATTCCGATCCTTAAGATTGTAGTTGTAGATATTTAGTCTCACTCAGTACCTAAAGTGTTTATGTTTAACGTTCTCAATTTTTCCTCTTGTATAAACCTTGTATCTGGTAGAAACACAAGACTTGCGCTATTTCTGTTTGGAGTTCAGCCACCCCGGCATCGCTGTTGATTTCTGCATCATATAAATAATTTCCCTTCTCAACATTATCTCGCACTAAATTCTTGTAATATACAGCTATCAGAGTATGTATGGCGTACAAATTAAAATGCACTTGTCGTGCTCTCGTTACCCACTTGGCTCATGTTCGGACATTTTAAAAGTTGTAAGTTCGCGTTTCTGAATCGCTGTAATAAAACACAATGGTCTTCAATTATTATCGAAAACAATGTTGATATATAATTACTATATTAATAAAATATAATAAGACAAGAATATAATATGTACCCATTACACAAGTTAATAATAGTAGCTACTTATTGCTCAGCGGGGGATGTGTTACAATCCAGTTTTTCTTTAACAGTCTATGAATACACCAGGGAATATCGCCGGCTGTACGCGGGGGTGTAAATCTCATTTTTTTAGGAAAAAATATTTTGTCACAGGCAGGCGTTGCTGGCAACGGCTTTTGAATACAACGTACTATTTACATAAATTTGCATATGCATAGGTACTTAGAATAAAACCAACATAAATATTTCCGGGATTTTCAGGTTTTCAGTATACGTAGACGGTTTATGATACTTCAAAATATTGCTGCTTCTATCATATCTTGGGCATTAAATACAAAAGTGTATGTGGTCGTAAATAATGCATTTATCAGAAGAGATTAGGAGAGGGGCACATTTAACAAGCAGACCCCGAGACCCAACAGATGTCGTCATTCTGTCAAAAGCTATCGGACTGTATTTTCCGGTCAATTTTCTCAATTTCTCTCTTTATACGAATATTTTTCGAAGTATTATCTCCATTAATAGGGACTGGGATGCTCCAGTTCGCTGATGATATTCCTTGCATGATTACTTAGTATAAAAATAAATACAATTTATCTTAACAATGACTTTCATCATCAGTGCCACCAATAAGCCAGATTAAAAACTATAAAGAAATCATAGAGGTAGTTATATGAAATAATTAAAAAAACGTTCTTTACTTACGTAAAGCCTTTATTATGGACTTACTTTACTATAAGCTCTTACCTAGCTGAATTTGCTCTATTAAGTCGTTTCTTACACCAAACTTTGGTTTAATTACAGTGCAATGAAAATTATGCTGGGCAAGTTGCCGCGACCATGGATCGTCGACGATGCCAAGGATGATGGGTACACAGCACTGCACCTGGCAGCGCTGAACAACCACGCCGAGGTAGCAGAACTACTGGTCCGAGGAGGCGCGAGACCGGACCTTCAGAATGCCAACTTGCAAACAGCTCTACACCTCGCCGTCGAACGACAACACACACAGATCGTCCGCTTACTCGTCGCACATGGAGCGAATCTCAATATATGTGACAAGGTACCCTTTTGTACCACATTTAGATGCAATTACATATGTACGTGTCTGTTTACTTGTTAACATTGTCACTTTAATGTCTGTTACTACTACCAGGATGGCGACACTCCGCTACACGAGGCGCTGCGCCACCACACGCTGCAACAGCTACGTCGTCTACAAGACGCGCGCGATGCAGCGCTACTCACGGGTCTCGCGCACGCACACGATAAGAAATCTTCCGCTTCCATTGCATGCTTCCTTGCTGCACATGGAGCTGATCTAACTATCAAGAATAAGAAAGGTATGGTAATATATTCGGAAATACCTACTTACGGATAATCAACGTTATTTCTGGATATGACTGTTTTACGTGAAGTAGAAGTAGATATTCTGAGTGAATAGGCAATTAAAGCTGAGGAATTATTTTTATTTTCAGGTCAGACACCCCTAGATCTATGCCCCGATCCGAATCTTTGCAAGACATTGACGACATGCCGCAAAGAAGGAGCCAGTTTGGGTGGCGAGGGCACTCCGGAGAGCGAGCCGTGCTCATTGAATGCAGCGACTGCAAGCACATCGGGCGCGACGGCCGCGTCACCCGCGCCCGCAGAGAGCGCCGCCGCCCTCGCCACTCCCACACAGCCTGCGTCCTCTGACCCCACGGCAGACGAGTGCCTCGTTTGCTCCGATGCCAAACGAGATACACTCTTCCGTCCGTGTGGACACATTTGCTGCTGTAGCGTTTGTGCAGCTAGGGTAATCATAATTTTTTTTCATACTTTGTTCATATTATCTGTCACTGGCTTCTGTTATGTAGGTATAAGTTACACCAATCGAGTGCATACTTAGAAATATCTTATGATTACTAATATAGGTATCGTAGTAAGCTTTTACAATGTCGTATTTCGGTTAGCTTATCGCAATAAGTGTATGAATGTATCGTTTCGCATGCAGGTAAAGAAGTGCCTGACGTGTCGCGCGTGCGTGGTGTCGCGGCAGCGCGTGGGCGAGTGCGTGGTGTGCTCGGAGGCGGCGGCGGCCGTGCTGTGTCGGCCGTGCGGCCACGTGTGCGTGTGCGTCAACTGCGCGCCGCTCATGCGCAAGTGTGTGGAGTGTCGCACGCCGCTGCAGCCGCCCCCCGCGCCCGCGCC